CATCAGAACAAATCAAGCCTTCGCCTTCGACAGTTTGATGGTCTATTCCACAGTACTTCGGACATCCACATTGGGTGCATCGCAGTGCCGCTCCCTCAGTCTGTCGTCGATATTCTGTGCAAAATTCTTCAATGTCCGACTTGCAGAATATGTTGGCAAATGGGCAGTGCAGTGCGTTGTTATGGGTGGGCATGCCTGACGTGGCTTTGTCAGTCATGAAACACACCACACAAGAGCCCTTCGACATGTTGATGAACAGAGTGACCTCGGATAGACGTTCATTGACGTTGATGCATGATATGAGGTAGCGATCCAGCATCTCCCAGTCAGATGACAGCTGAAACGAAGATCTGGTCTCCATGGCAGGATCAGGATCTTCTTCATCCTGCCTTGGCGTCACAGATGCTTTCTTGACCACTGTGAAGGGATTGTTGGGCTGAGACGCAGTCAATGATGGGCTAGGAGTAGGAAGGACGGGTGCATTCAAGACGCCTATTTGGTTAACCGATCGTTAGTGTGTTGATGACATTGACGAATGCTGTGCTCACCATCCTCATGCACTGACGTCCGGCCGACATGCTCACTCGACGGTGGGCGAATTAATCCTTCGGTGTTCGCCCTCGCACTCTCCAATGCATCTTCAATCGCCTTCAAGCGATTAGCCCGTTGTAATGCCGTCAATGTTTTGCTAGGCATAGGTGACATGGAACCGTCTATTTTGTAATGGTATGGTAAGTGTTCGAATGACATCGCAGTGCGTTGTGCTCACCGTCCTGCCAATGACGCTTATGACCATAGCACTCCTTCCCCAGTGAGTTGGACACCTTTGTTCCAACATCAGATGTGTCGCCACCTGCATGGACTTTTGTGTTATGCTGAACAAAGGGTAAATTAATTATTTTCTCGCCAGGGCCGCTACGATAGACTTACTACACCAGAAAAATGCTCACGGCAGTGCTCAAGCATCGGCCCGGGAAAAAGAATGGCCCCGCACGTCGCAACCGGGCACATGTAGCCTTTGTCGTGCACCTGGAGGACGTCAAAGGTCTCGTCTGCGATGAAGGTTGGTTGGTTATTGCATGATGAGATTGTTACTTACAAAATGTGCTCATCTTCAGAATTTTTGCATCTTGGTGAGTCACGCAATGAGACTGAACTTGCTCCACCGTCTGGAAGCTGACGCCACAGTAGGGGCATATTACAGTAGGTGCAGAGTGAGTCAGCATTGGGTTGCGGCGCAGTCACGATGAGCCAGGCGAGGATGGGGATTGACGAGAGGAGTGTGGGCTTTCTTCCCTGGCATAGGAGAATTGCATGGATGTGCCATAGACTGAACGGCACTTCGTTGTTCCAATGGTCCGTTGAATTAATCAATTGTCCATGATTCTTGAAATGATTGCTTTCATCTGTCAATCGCTTTGCTCGACTCGGACGACATTGACGATGTGACACCAAATATTGCTTGATGTAGTCAACACGACGTCATAAAGGATCGTCTCTCGCTGTCCACGCACTCCTCGATCAGGAAGTTGCTTTGACATCTTGCATCAATAATGATCTCTCGTTGTGTGCTCACTTCCCGATCAGGGAGCGATTGCGACATGTTGTGATAAATTGCCTGAAAAGCTGTCTGCCCACACCGGTCCATTGATTCCTCCGGTGGCCTAACTGTCAGTTCAGGTTATAGTGTAACTTTCTTGAAAATTAAGCAGCTGTGAGGAAATTGCA